AAATGGGAGATTATTGCACAGCTACTTGAAATGGATGCAGCGCAAAGAACGGAGAGAGCTAATGTGCCCAGCATCTTGGACCTAACACCCGAGGAAATCCGATTCAACCGGGCAGTCCAGATAAGGCTGGCACACTTTGGCACCAACCCTACATCGTGGAACGTGTGCAAGCAGCAGTGACGGCACACCAGGCGCTCCAAGAAAGAGGAGCTGCAGCAGCGGAGGTACCCAATAATAATATTGGAAGAAAGAAGGTACCCTTCGCTGCATTTAAAAACTTTGTTGAAGCAGAGGGAGAGATTGACGGGTTCCTGGTAGTGATGTCGCGAACGTGAATTTTTGGGTTCGCGAACGGCTAACGCGAACTTCCGCAAATGTTCGCGAACCTGGCGAACCGCCATAGACTTCAATGGGCAGGCGAATTTTAAAACCCACAGGGACTCTTACTGATTGAAGGGGGGGGGAGGAGACCTACTCTCCTCCCCCCTCGGCCCCCACCCCTGGGTGGCGGGTGGGGGCCATAAAGATAATGAGGGGTTCCTACTGTCCCCCCCCGGCCCCCACCCCTGCGCGGCGGGTGGTGGCCATATTGATAATGAGGGGGGGGACCTACTGCCCCCCCCAGCCCCTACCCCTGCGCAGCGGGTGGGGGCCATATTGATAATGAGGGGGGGGACCTACTGTCCACCCCCCCTCCGGCCCCCACCCGTGGGCGGTGGGTGGGGGCCATAAAGATAATGAGGGGGGGCCTACTGTCCTCCCCCCCTGGCCCCCACCCCTGGGCGGCGGGTGGGGGCCATAAAGACTAATGAGGGGGGGACCTACTGTCCTCCCCCCCCCGGCCCCCACCCCTGGGCGGCGGGTGGGGGACACAAAGATAATGAGGGGGGGGACCTACTGTCCTCCCCCCGGCCCCCACACCTGGCGGCGGGTGGGGGCCATAAAGATAATAAGGGGGGGGACCTACTGAAAGCCATCCAATCACAGTGCTCTGTGTCATTTTACACAGCGTGGGAAAATTGAACTTTCCCACGCTGTGTAAAATGACACAGAGCACTGTGATTGGATGGCTTGAAATCCATCTATCCAATTTTACACAGCATAGGAAAATTCAAAAGAACTTTTCCACGCTGTGTAAAATGACACAGAGCACTGTGATTGGATGGCTTGAAATCCATCCAATCACAGTGCTCTGTGTCATTTTACACAGCGTGGGAAAGGTCAATTTTCCCTATTTTACAGGTTAGTTATTTTATTCCCCCCTCACTATTTTTTAGGGTGAGGGGGGTAGGTAGGGGCCATATTGGTAGGGACTTTTTATTTGGGGGGGTGAATTTACTTAGGGCCCCCACCCGCAGCCCAGGGGTGGGGGCCGGGGGGGGAGGACAGTAGGTCCCCCCTCCATTATCTTTGTGGCCCCCACCCGCCGCCCAGGGGTGGGGGCCGGGGGGGAGGACAGTAGGTCCCCCCCCTCATTATCTTTATGGCCCCCACCCGCCGCGCAGGGGTGGGGGCCGGGTGGGGGCCGGGGGGGGCAGTAGGTCCCCCCCTCATTATCAATATGGCCCCCACCCACCGTGCAGGGGTGGGGGCTGGTGAGGCAGTAGGTCCCCCCCCTCATTATCAATATGGCCCCCCACCCATCGCGCAGGTAGTCCCTCCCTCATTAGGTCCCCCCTCATTATCAATATGGCCCCCACCCACCGCGTAGGGGTGGGGGCGGGGGGGACAATAGGTCCCCCCCTTATTGTTCATTTTAGGGCCCCCACCCACCGCTCAGAGGTGTGGGCTGGGGGGGGACAATAGGTCCCCCCCTTATTGTTCATTTTAGGGCCCCCACCCACCGCTCAGGTAATAGACATGCCCCTACTCGCGGTATTGCGAGTAGGGGCACAATTTACTAATACTAAGTAATTTTTACTTAGTATTAGTAAATTAATAGGGGGCGGACCGAACATCGCATATGTTCGCCATCGGTGGTGAACGCGAACACGCTATGTTCGCCAGGAACTATTCGCCAGCGCACCGTTTGGGACATCACTAGTTCCTGGCTGATTTTGAGAGACAGTGTGCCTTACACCAGGTACACCCAGGTATCCTCTATACCTTTGTGTACCTGGTGTAAGGCACACTCAGAGACGGTTGCTGATGCCCTGGTTAAGATTTTTACTAGGGTCGGGTTCCCTAGGGAGATTCTCTCTGACCAGGGGACCCAGTTTACCGCTGTGCTCACCCAGCAGCTGTGGAAGGTGTGCGGCATCAAACCACTGATTAGCTCACCTTATCACCCACAGACTAACGGTCTCTGCGAGCGCTTTAATGGCACCCTCAAGCAGATACTGAGGACCTTTATTGACACGTGCAGAGACTGGGAGAGGTTCCTGCCTCATCTGTTATTTTCCTATAGAGAGGTGCCCCAGGAATCTACTGGGTTCTCTCCCTTTGAGTTACTCTATGGGAGAAGGGTCCGCTTACCCCATGATCTCATTAGAGGATACTGGGAGGGAGAGACAGGAGGGGACCCCCATAGTGCCATATATCCTGGAACTCCTGGTCCGCATGGAGAAACTGTCTCTGATGGTAAGAGAGAATCTCCAGGCGGCCCAGGGGAGACAGAAGAGGTGGTACGATCGGGGTGCCTGGCAGCGGATCTTCCAGGTTGGGCAGAAAGTCTTGGTGCTCAAGCCTGTGAAGACGAACAAGATGCAAGCATCTTGGCAGGGCTCGTATAAGGTGTTAGCTCAGGTGTGTGATACTGCCTATACCATAGCCAGCTGTGCAGATGAAAGGATTCAGTGGTCCTTTCATGAGAGACCGAAGGATGTCGCTGCAGTGTGTGCCCCTGCTGCAGATGACCCTGAGAACCTACCCCTCCCCGATTTGCTAGAGGGGGACCCCCAGACTGACCTTACTAGCCTTGTGCAGCTAAGGGACCGGTTAAGCCACACAGAGAAGGTACAGGCAAGATAGCTTCTGTTCTCCCAAGAGCCCAGTTACACTACCCTAGCTGTACATAAGGTAGAAACCCCTGGGCAGAACCCCCTGTGACAGCCCCCCTACTGTATCCTTGAAGCCATGGGTGTAGGAACCCCCAAAAATCTGGGGGGGGACAGCATTTTTGCTCGCCGGGTATATTCTTATTCAGTAAACTGGGACTTGTTTATAACGTTAAATTTTAAGTGTGTGTGTGTGTGTGTGAAAAATCTCACAACAAAAAAATATGCAAAAGGAACAGTTCTTTATTTATCAGGTCACAGAAATTAACCAAACGTTTGGCATATATTTTAGTTATTCCACTTAGAACTAGTGGTAATAATACTTTAAGTAATGCACTATTGCCTGATTTTAACAAAAAAAAAGATCTTGTATAAATACAATTAAATACTATAACTATATAAATAGAACCAATATGCTCAAAAGATCTTGTATAAATACAATTAAATACTATAATTATATAAATAGAAACAATATGCTCAAAAGATCTTGTATAAATACAATTAAATACTATAACTATTTAAATAGAAACAATATGCTCAAAAGATCTTGTATAAATACTATTAAATACTATAACTATATAAATAGAAACAATTTTCTAACTGCAGACAGAGTGAGACCCTCCAAGCATCACAACCACTGTAGCGTATTTCAGCTAACTAGGTGAAAGGTAGCTGTTCCTGTAAATGTGTGCCTGCCACTGCCAGCTCACACACTAAAGAACGCAAGTTTTTAAAATCTAAAAACTTTTTTGCGGCGATCACAACACATTGCAAATTCCTTTGCTATGGCTTCAATGTCTAGTTTATCCATTATGTCTCTATGGATGTTGCATATAGCAACATGGTTCAAACGTTTCTGGGTCATTGTGGACCTTAACCAGGTTTTTAATCTACGCAGTGCACTAAAACTTCTCTCAGCTTCACAGGAAGAAGCAGGAATAGTTAATAGGATTCTGACAATTTTTTGTACTTGAGAGAAAAAGCATCTTTCTCTGGCAGGCATCTTTCGCAAAATATCTACAACCTCAGAGACTGAAGTGTACTTGTAAACACTTGATAAGGTGGTTATCTGGGCAGAGAGCAGATGATATTCAATCTCTGGATACTGGGGAAGAACTTCACTAGCTTGTCCGGTCAACAGATAATGTTCCAGTTTTTCATATACAAGTAAGCCCTCTTGGGCAAAGCGCTGTATTAACTGCGTCGATATAATATCCATTATTTGGAAATACTGAGGACAATAGTATTCCTTCACAGTCTTTGCATGAAATTGTTCAGTTGGCCCATGTTGAAGACGTTTAGGAATATTAGGTTGCCTTGGTACAGTAACTTCTTTTAGCTCGTATTTTTCCACTAAATGAATAGTGGTAGCAAGAACTCTTTCAAAGGACGTGTCACATCGTAACTTTTGTATAGCATCATGGGTCCGTTGTACACTTGCTAAAAGTCCTGATATGGTTTGTTCTCTGCCTTGCAAGGCTACATTCAGGCATTCTAAGATCTCCATGATACTAAGAGAGATTTAAAGACCTAGTAGAGTTTTCCCTTGCCTAAATTGTTGTAGTAGGCCACGTGCACGTGGATTTATATCTCCACTATTTCTGGTATTTGCAATTTCTTCAAGTGTTTCCAAAATCAGCTGGTAATTATCCATAATTTTTTTCACAGGTTTCACTCTAACAGTCCAGCGTGTTGGGCACAATGGTTTAATATGCAAGACTTTAAGAGGCCCTTCAGCTTCACGATGCACAATTTCTGAAAATGTGTTTCTGCATTTCATTGATTGCCCAAAGAGTTTGCCAAGATCTTGCACACACATAAGTGCATCTTCCATTATTGGACATTGATGTGCTGCGGCCTGCATAACTAAATTTGTGCAATGTGCACCGCAATGGACATAAATGGCAAGTGGTTGTTCCTGCTTGATTAATGCCTGGGCACCATGATATTTAACAGCCATATTTGAAGCTCCATCATATGTTTGCCCTCGCAACATTGACATACAAAGCCCATTACGGCATAAAGCATCCTTGACGATCTGTGGGATTGCAGATCCACTTGTTTCATCAACTTGATATAAGCCTATGAAGTCCTCATGTGGGTACAAGTCTTCATCAACATAGCGGATACAGAAACTTTCTTGTTCTTGACCAGATATATCTTGTGTGCCATCAACAATAATTGCAAAGGCATTATTCCCAATCTGTTTCCGAATAAGGCATAATACGGTGTGAGACAATAACTTCAAAATCTCATTTTGAATGTCGGGACTCATGTATTCTGCTTTGTGTGCTATACAATTTTTTAGATAAGACACATCATCTGCTCGTGCAAGCAGAAACTGTTTAAAATTGCCATCATTGTCTTCATGGCCACGAAGAGGGAGACATTGTTTTGCCAACAGGGCTATTGTTTGTACTATCTTGATGAGACACAGCCATGCATTATTCTGTTGCTGTTGAATTTGTAGTGAAAGCTGAGCATTAATGGGTTGCAAATCTTTATGATGCAATAGTTGCTTTATAGAATATGTTTTTTAAACTTTTCAATAGCTTTTTTCAAATTTTTAAAGCCTACACACACAAATGCTGGCTCAGTGTTCTTTTCGAGTTGAGTCAGATTCAGGAAGGCTGCTTTGGCACAGTAGAAAAATAGTACCCCTTCAAGAGTAAAACTGTAGTGCAGCCATGGAAAGCTTTGGAACCAGCACTCTTGAAAATGTAGAACACGCTTCTTTGTCTTTTGTGTTACAATGGTCTGAGCTGGAATTGTTTTGTAGTCTGGTTGATTTGGTACCACTGCCGTTCGTAATGTTTTCTCATCATCAGCTGGAAGAGAAATGCATTTTCCTTTCGTGTATGTTTTAGAGTTACTATGAACATCTTCTACAGTTTTGATTGCAGGACCACAAGCATGGTCTTCCTCACCATCACTACTTGAGTCACTCATGAGGCCAACTGCTTCTAAAATCACTGTCTCAGCATATTCCTTTTCTGGCTCAACAAAATAATGCCTGACTGGTGATTCAGTGATCACTTTTTGTTGACATGCTTCTGAGCTTGATGAAGATGTATTTGCTTTACTAGGCTTTGTAAAAAACTTGCGGATATCCATTCTGACTTTCTTCACTGAAACTGACTTTTAAGCATAAGGTTTTAGAAAAGACAAAATATAAAGAAGAATGATAATACTGAATGATAACAAAAGATTTAAGAATAACATGAACTTTTTAATTTCTCTACAATAATTAGTTTATTATATCTAGCCCATTTTCTGACATAGCATCTTTAACCTAGTGCGTGTTCCAGAATTACTGCTAGTTGCCCCCCCGGCAGCCGGCATACGTGACTTAGGCAGTCTGGCACTGTTCTGGGCATAAAATACATCTGTCATCTTAGCACACAGCGCACTGGTGACAGATGTAATTACATTCTCCCTTGCAGGTGGCGCTCCCAGTGCTGCCTGAATAGGAAAGCCTAGCTTTCCCCTCCCTCCCACCTCACTTATGCAAATCCGTATCTCAAGCCAATAAATCAAACTATTAAAGCAATCTAGAGAGGGTAATCTGAAGAGCACTATCCAGCAGTAAAAATCAACCCACATAGCATTAGTAAAAATCAACAAATCAAGCAATGCTATGCTGAAATGTTAGTTGATTTTTACTGATGCTCTGATAGCATCAGTAAACATTAACCGACATATAGCATTAGTAAAAATAAACCCACATGGCATCAGTAAATATAAACCTGCATGCCATCAGTAAAAATAAACCGGTATAGCAGCAGTAAAAATAAACCGGTATAGCAGCAGTAAAAATAAACCCACATGGCATCAGTAAAAATAAACCTGCATGCCATCAGTAAAAATAAACCGGTATAGCAGCAGTAAAAATAAACCGGTATAGCAGCAGTAAAAATAAACCCACATGGCATCAGTAAAAATAAACCGGTATAGCAGCAGTAAAAATAAACCCACAAGGCATCAGTAAAAATAAACCGGCATATATCAGCAGTAAAAATAAACCCACTATAGCGTTACTTACCTTATCCAGGGGCCGGCCGCGGTCCTCTCTTCGAGCCGCGCGCGGTCCTGCTGCTGCACGAGCCGCGCGTGGCTCATCCGACGGCTTCAATAGGAAGGTGGGCAGTGACCGCGAGAAGTGGTCACGTGTCCCACCTAAATCTAAGCGCGTGCCGCGAGTCTCGGGCGCGCTCTTAAAGAGACAGTGGGAGCCTAAATTGTCAAAAGGCTCCCATTGGCCCCTGTCATGCCACACTCCCCATACACTTACCTTTTGGGGGTGTGGATATGACAGGAGCCAATCACATTAGTTTAGAAGCTATTTGAACTTACCTCTCCCTTTACTCCCTGCCCTATCGTGGTTTCTGTTTCAGTTCCCTTTAGCGCTTGTTGTGTTCAGTTGTGTTTTCTTTGTATTGACTTTGGCTTTGTTTCTGACTATGTTTTCTCTTTATCCTTATCTGTTCTGGTTGCCAGCTTGCTGTTTACTGTGTACCAGACCCCGGCTAGTCCTAGTTTACGCTGTCTCTCTGTGCCCTTGACTTCGGATCATTCCTGACTCTGTCTCCTCTCATATACGTTGAGTCCGGCCATTCTAAGGTCCGGTAGACGTATCTCTCCTCTGTGTTGTCTTCTGTTTAGCTGAATCCTGCGTGTTGGGGTATATTCTCTTTACACCCACATGGCATCAGTAAAAATTAACCGGTATAGCAGCAGTAAAAATAAACCCACATGGCATCAGTAAAAATAAACCGATATAGCAGCAGTAAAAATAAACCGACATATAGCAGCAGTAAAAATAAACCCACATGGCATCAGTAAAAATTAACCTACATGGCATCAGTAAAAATTAACCGGTATAGCAGCAGTAAAAATAAACCCACATGGCATCAGTAAAAATTAACCGGTATAACAGCAGTAAAAATAAACCGACATATTGCAGCAGTAAAAATAAACCCACATGGCATCAGTAAAAAAAATAACAATAGGGGGGGAACTTCTGCCCCCCCCGGCCCCCACCCCTGAGTGGTGGGTGGGGGCCCTAAATACTAAGAAGGGGGGACCTAAGGTCCTCCCCCCTGGCCCCCACCCCTGAGCGGCGGGTGGGGGCCCTAAATACTAAAAAGGGGGGACCTAAGGTCCTCCCCCCTGGCCCCCACCCCTGAGCGGCGGGTGGGGGCCCTAAATACTAAAAAGGGGGGACCTAATGTCCTCCCCCCCGGCCCCCACCCCTGAGCCGTGGGTGGGGAAAAAAAATCACAATGGGGGGGACCTAAGGTCCTCCTCCCTGGCCCCCACCCCTGAGCGACGGGTGGGGGCCCTAAGTACTAAAAAGGGGGGGGAACCTAATGTCCTCCACCCGGCCCCCACCCCTGAGTGGCGGGTGGGGGCCCTAAATACTAAAAAGGGGGGGGCCTAATGTCCTTCCCCCGGCCCCCACCCCTGAGCAGCGGGTGGGGGCCCTAAATACTAAAAAGGGGGGGACCTAAGGTCCTCCCCTGACCCACCTGGCGGTGGGGCCTAAATACAAAGGGGGACCTAAGGTCCTCCCTATTACCCTGGGAGGTGGGTGGGGGCCCTAAAAAATCCCCCAGGTGACTAGGGGTCCCCAAACCCCTAGTCACCCTCCCAAAAAAAATTAACCCCCTACCTACCCCCCTCACCCTAAAAATAATGAGGGGGGACCTTTAACTAAGTACCTGTAAAAAAAAAAAAAACTTACCATTCAATGTTTTCTTTCTTCTAAATCTTCTTTTTTCAGCCCCAAAAAAGGCCAAATAAAAAAACCATAATAACCGACGCAATTAAAAAACAAACAAACAAAAAACGAGCGAGTAGGGGTATAATTTACTAATACTAAGTAACCTTTACTTAGTATTAGTAAATGTGGCTGAAAGACCAATTTAGGTCTTTCAGCCTTTTAATAGATAGCTCTCTAATACCGTGGGAATTAGGGAGTTATCTACTAAGCGGCTGCAAGATGCAGCCACGGATCGGAGTTTGCATGCCACAGTCCAGGTGTTAGTCCCCTTGAAACAACTTGTGGGATTTAAAATTCGCCTGCCTATTGAAGTCTATGGCGGTTCGCCCGGTTCGCGAACATAGCCGAAATTTGCGTTCGCCGTTCGCGAACTGAAAATTTCATGTTCGCAACATCACTAGTTAGAATAGGGGCCACTAGTCTTGAGAAGCAACAGGAATAAAACAGTATGTTATTGCTAATATTAACACATTATTAATAAACAGTGTCACAGCATTATCAACATACTTACCCAGGCTGTGTCTCTCTATGTGGTCCCAGGCTCCCAGCCAGCAGCTTTGCTTCCTCCCTGACAGGCTGCCACTGCCACTGGAGTCCAGACATGTGCTCCTGGCTCCTGCTCCTGCAGCACATAATTCCGCCCGTGCACATTGGAAACCGGAAGGAGACCCCGGAGTCAAAGTGCCGACACGCTGTTCGTGTAACTACAGGTCAGAAACTGGTGCATTCGGAAGCAAAAATCTGAATGCACCGAAATGTTACCAGGCCAGCGTTATCAGCACTCCCACTCCTCCGGCTCTGAGTCCTCTAACCTGGGGGGGATTTTACCATACCTGTCCCCCCCACATTATTTCCTGGGGGGGATCCATCCCCCCCATCCCCCGCTTCCTACGCCCGTGCTTGAAGCAGTCCGAGAAGGAATGCAGAAGGAGATACAGCAGATGACCCAGCTTGGGGTCATCGAACACTCCGATAGCCCTTGGGCCTCGCCTGTAGTCCTGGTGCCTAAGAAAGATGGTACCACCCGGTTCTGTGTGGACTACAGGCGGCTCAACGAGCGGACCATCACTGACGCCTACCCGATGCCCCGGGTAGACAAATTGTTAGACCGTATCACTAGGGGGCGTTATCTGACTACCATAGACCTATGTAAGGGCTATTGGCAGATCCCCCTGGCCGTGGATGCTATCCCTAAGTCGGCATTTGTCACCCCGTTTGGCCTGTACCAGTTAGGGTCATGCCATTCGGGATGAAAAATTCACTGGCTACCATCAAGCGTATGGTGGATAGATTCCTCAATGCCTTCCAGGAATTTGCTTGCGCATACCTGGATGACATTGCGATCTATAGTGAGTCCTGGGAGGAACACCTGGTACATGTAGGGATAGTGCTGGATAAGATTTGGCCGCTGGCCTGGCATTGAAGCCAGACAAGTGCCATCTAGGTATAGCTAAAGTGCAGTACCTGGGTCACAGGGTGGGGTGTGGGAGCCA